GGCACGGTAGCATGCACCTGTAGTTCCAGCTACTTGGAAGGCTGAGGCAGAAGGATCACCAGAGCCCAGCAGGTTGACACTGGGGTGGCCATGAACATGCCACTGCCCTCCAGCCTGGGAGACTTCAACTCAAAATAAATAAATAATTTTTTTTAAAAAAAGAGAAATGTTACATGATGGCTTTCAGTGGTCATCCCGATGTGTTTCTGTAAATACATTAAAACACATGACTATCAAAATAAAAGGAGTCTTTTTTTGGGTCTCGCCTGAATTCATCAGGCTGCCACGACCGCTATTCTTCATGCCCTGCCTCTCCCCCCCACTCCCAGGATTCTCTTCCAAGCAGGACTGAATCGTGGACCTGTTAGGGGGACCCAGCACTGCATCTGGGAAACAGGCCCCAAAGTACTTGCAAGGCTAAAGCCCAGCGAAGCTACCTTTTAAATAAGAAACAATAGCAAAAGGAAAGAATGTCATTTTGAATATTTAGAATGGTGGGGTTTTCTTTTTTCTTTTCTCTATTTTTCGAATCCTCTCTAATAAGACTCTCAGAACGGAAAAAAAAAAAAGTTAATGTATAAACAGCACCTGGCCCTCCTTGCCTCCAGGGATGGATTGGGATGAATGGTTCAGCATTGTGGAGGGCTTCCATTTCTGAACCACCAGGGCTGGGGATGGAGAGGATGGGAATTTGCTTCTCTATTACTCTCCCAGGTGAAGCTGGTCCTGCTAGCCCAGGGCTCACACTTGGAAAACCATGGAATTAGAGACATGAGAAGATGTGGAAGTACTTGAAGGATGACATTGACTGTCTTCAGGGGTGGTCAGGCCCCCACAGGCAGTGGGTTATGTGGATGTCTCCCCCTAGAGTCTCACAGAGTACAGGCTGCATAGCCTGTGGTGCTGAGGGTAGTCGGGGGGAGCTCCCTGGTCGCCTCCCTTCCTCTCTCTCTTCCTTTCTTTCTTCTTTTCCAAGCACATGGTTTCCTTAGGAAGTATCTGGGCACATCTATGATCTCTTGAGAGAAAAGTTTTTACTGTATGAAGAAGAGTTCAGCTTCTATGTATGAACTTAAACGGGAGCAAAGTTAATAAGCCCACACCTGTCCTTCCTCCTTCTTTCCTCCAGGGATCCCTCCTACATGGCCTCCCACTGGCACAGCAGCAGAGGAAAGCACAGAAGGCCCTTCTACAACTGAAGTGCCCTCTGCCTCAGAGGAGCCGTTCCCTTCAGAGGAGCCATCACCCTCAGAGAAGCCATCGCCCTCAGAAGAATCATTCCCCTGGGAAGGGCCGTCGCCCTCGGAGAAGCCATCGCCCTCAGAGGAGACATTTCCTTCAGGGGAGCCATCAGCTTCAGAGGAGCCATACACAGCTTCACCCCCAGTGCCCAGCAGGACTGAGCTGCCAGGCTCTGGGCAGGCATCTGGGGTCCCTGACATCAGTGGTGACTTCACAGGCAGTGGAGAAGCTTCAGGACACTTTGACTTCAGTGGGCAGCCCTCAGGAGGCAGGGCAAGTGGAGGAGACCTTGACTCCAGTGGTCTTCCCTCCACAGTGGGCTCAGGCCTGCCTGTGGAAAGTGGACTGGCCTCAGGGGATGAGGAGAGAATTGATTGGTCCAGCACTCCTGATGTTAGCAGACTGCCCTCTGGAGGTGATGGCCTAGAGGGCTCTGCCTCTGGAGTCGGGGACCTCAGTGGACTTCCTTCTGGAAGAGAAGGTCTAGAGACTTCTGCTTCTGGAGTAGGAGAAATCAGCGGGCTTCCTACTGGAGAAGTTCCAGAGACTTCCACCTCTGGAGTAGAGGACATCAGTGGGCTTCCTTCAGGAGAAGAAGTTCCAGAGACTTCCACCGCTGGAGTAGAGGACATCAGCAGGCTTCCTTCTGGAGGGGAAGTTCCAGAGACTTCTGCCTCTGGAGTAGGGGACCTCAGTGGACTTCCTTCTGGAGAAGTTCCAGAGACTTCTGCCTCTGGAGTAGAGGACATCAGCAGGCTTCCTTCTGGAGGGGAAGTTCCAGAGACTTCTGCCTCTGGAGTAGGGGACCTCAGTGGACTTCCTTCTGGAGAAGTTCCAGAGACTTCTGCCTCTGGAGTAGAGGACCTCAGCAGGCTTCCTTCTGGAGGAGAAGTTCCAGAGACCTCTACCTCTGGTGTAGGGGACCTCAGTGGACTTCCTTCTGGAGAAGTTCTAGAGACTTCTGCCTCTGGAGAAGAGGACCTCAGCAGGCTTCCTTCTGGAGAAGTTCCAGAGACCTCTGCCTCTGGAGTAGGGGACCTCAGTGGACTTCCTTCCGGAGAAGTTGTAGAGACTTCTGCCTCTGGAGTAGAGGACCTCAGCAGGCTTCCTTCTGGAGGAGAAGTTCCAGAGACCTCTGCCTCTGGTGTAGAGGACCTCAGTGGACTTCCTTCTGGAGAAGTTGTGGAGACTTCTGCCTCTGGAGTAGAGGACCTCAGCAGGCTTCCTTCCGGAGGAGAAAGTCTAGAGACCTCCGCTTCTGGAGTAGGGACTGACCTCAATGGACTTCCTTCTGGAAGGGAGGATCTCGAAACCTCAGCTTCTGGAGCTGAGGATCTCAGTGGAAAAGAAGACTTGGTGGGTTCGGCTTCTGGAGACTTGGACCTTGGCATACTGCCCTCTGGAACTCTAGGAAGTGGGCAAGCTCCAGAAACAAGTGGCCTTTCCTCTGGATTTAGTGGTGAGCATCCTGGGATGGACCTTGGGAGTGGTTCAGCCTCTGGCCTGCCTGATTTTAGTGGGCTTCCATCTGGATTCCCAACTGTCTCCCTCGTGGATACTACATTGGTGGAAGTAGTCACAGCCTCCACCGCAAGTGAACTGGAAGGGAGGGGAACTATTGGCATCAGTGGTGCGGGAGAAATATCTGGGCTTCCCTTCAACGAGTTGGACATCAGTGGGAGTGCTAGTGGACTCCTTTCAGGAGTTGAACTCAGTGGTCAAGCATCTGGGTCTCCTGATATCAGTGGGGAAACATCTGGACGTTTTGATGTCAGTGGACAGCCATCAGGGTTTCCTGACATCAGTGGGGGTACATCTGGTATTTTTGAAGTCAGTGGGCAGCCATCAGGGTTTCCTGACATCAGTGGGGAAACATCTGGAGTGACTGAGCATAGCGGGCTACCCTCTGGACAACCAGATGTCAGTGGAGAAGCATCTGGAGTCCTTTATGGCAGTGGTCAACCATTTGGCATGACTGACTTGAGTGGAGAAACATCCGGGGTCCCTGATCTCAGCGGACAGCCATCAGGGTGGCCAGGGTTTAGCGGGGCAACATCTGGAATCCCTGACCTGGTTTCTGGTGCCACAAGTGGCAGCGGTGACTCTTCTGGCATTACATTTGTGGACACCAGTTTGGTCAAAGTGACCCCTACTACGTTTACAGAAGAGGAAGGCTTAGGGTCTGTGGAACTCAGTGGCCTCCCTTCTGGAGAGGCAGGTCTGTCAGGCACATCTGGGACCGTGGACATCAGTGGACAATCTTCTGGAACAACTGATGCCAGTGGATTTATATCCGGGGCCCCAGAATTCAGTGGCCTACCAAGTGGAGTAGCTGAGGTCAGTGGAGAATCCTCTGGGGCTGAGATTGGGAGCAGCCTGCCCTCAGGAGCATATGAGGGCAGTGGACTTCCATCTGGTTTCCCCACTGTCTCTCTTGTAGACAGAACTTTGGTGGAATCTGTAACCCAGCCTCCAACAGCCCAAGAAGCAGGGGAAGGGCCTTCAGGCGTTTTGGAATTCAGTGGTGCCCATTCTGGAGCCCCGGACATATCTGGGGACCATTCTGGATTATTGGACCTAAATGGTCTGCAGTCTGGGCTGGTAGAGCCCAGTGGGGAGCCACCAAGTACTCCTTATGTTAGCGGGGACTTTGCCAGCACCCCTGATGTCAGTGGAGAATCTTCTGCAACCGTGGGCACCAGTGGAGAAGCCTCGGGACTTCCAGAAGTGACTTTAATCACATCTGAGTTTGTGGAGGGCGTTACTGAACCAACTGTTTCTCAGGAACTCGGCCGAAGACCCCCCGTGACACACACACACCCGCTTTTTGAGTCCAGTGGAGAAGCCTCTGCATCTGGGGACATTAGTGGAGCTACGCCAACACTCCCCAGGTTCAGGGTAGATGAGTCACCAGTTCCAGAATCCAGCAGCCAGACGTCTGCCTATCCTGAGGCTGGCATGGGGGCCTCTGCTGCCCCTGAGGCCAGCGGAGAAGTTTCTGGGTCCCCTGATCTGAGTGAAACCACCTCTGCATTCCACGAAACTGATCTCGAGAGAGGTTCGGGCCTGGGGGAGAGCAGCAGCACTTTGACTCTGCAGGAAGGCCCTGGCGAGGGGTCAGCTGCCCCAGAATTAAGTAGAGAATTGACCACCCCTTATGCCGTGGGCACAGAGGTATCAGGCCTGCCTTCGGCCACACCCGTGGCTTCTGGAGACAGGACTGAAATCAGCGGAGATCTGTCTGGTCACACCTCAGGGCTGGATGTTGTCATCAGCACCAGCGTCCCAGAGTCCGAGTGGACCCCGCAGACCCAGCGCCCCGCAGAGGCGCATCTAGAAATCGAGTCCTCAAGCCTCCTGTCCTCAGGAGAAGAGACCCAAACAGCCGAAACAGCCACCTCCCCTACTGACGCGTCCGTCCCAACTTCTCCAGAAGGGACAGGTGAATCAGAGTCCACCGTTGCAGGTATGGTTAGGATTTTCTTTCCTTGCAATGCGTTGGGTAGTTCGGACAGTAAACTACTGCCACAGAGCAGGAGACAGTGCAGCCCTAAGGTTCCAGGCACGGCTCCACCTCAGGCAAGATTCTTAACCTCTCTGAGCCTCATCTGTAAATTGGAAATAGTACCAGGGAAGATCAAACAGAATATAAATGTAGATAAAGCAAGCCCCAAGCATCTTACTTTGCACAAAGTGTACACTTAGAAAGATTAAGTGGTTACTGTTACAGTGGAATTATATCACATGAGTTTTTATTCATAAATTCAACTATCTGTATTTGGCACAGGGAGAGAAAAGGATGATTATTTAGTCAGATGATACTAGAAATTCTGCTCCTGCACCCTGCCCCGGTATGTAAAGAGTAAATCTGCCAATGACATTTATGTCCAAAGGTTTATGTTGTGCCGGGTTAAAACCTGCACAACTTAAGGACCTGTGAAGTGTCACTTTGCCTATCTGACTTTAGACACTGCGTCCCCACCCCCATCCCAATGAGAAGAGAATTCTGTATCATCATGATGGCCTCACCTCGACATATTCCTGGGCAGTGGGCAGTGGGCAATGGTAGCAGATTTTCCTTTATTTTTGGTTTGGGTCCCTTCCACCTCCCTTTGTGCAGAGAGAGCTTGCATAATCAGAGACCCCGCCCCCCCTAGATGCTGGGGGCCAGGTGCCCAGAAAGGACAGGGTCCCCAGAAACATAACGACCCAAAGCCAGCCTCGTGGACTGCAGAAGCCTTGGGCCCCAACTGCACAGTCTCAGAGGCTATGCTGCTACCAGGTGGCTGTGATCCCGATGCTCAACCTCTCCCCTGGGGTTGCAGCCCCTGCCAGGTCCTGTGCTGAGGAGCCCTGTGGTGCTGGGACCTGCCAGGAGACGGAGGGACACGTCATATGCCTGTGCCCCCCTGGCTACACTGGCGAGCACTGCAACATAGGTAAGCCCCCCATTGGCTGTGGGGGGTAAGGGCAGGGGTGTGGGATGGACTCCTTCATCCCCAGAAGTGGCCCCTGGAAGGGGAGGTGACCAAGGCCAGCTGAGGCTCAGGCTTTTCAGGCTGGGAAGAAGAGGTGCACAATGACACATGGGGACAGAAGCCACAGGGCAAACATGGCTAATCTTTTTAGAATGACTAATCTACATGACAATCTAGGAGAAAACAGTCAAGGAATTAAATTAAGCTGCTAGGTAGTTCGTTTTCTATCAAGCCAATGATTCTTTTATGAGTAGAATGCAAAGTGTTGCTTGGATTTTAGAGCTAAAACTTGAGACTTCAAAGAAATGTTGAGCTTGGGCAAGCATCAAATACAACCAGTCACACCCTTCTGCTTCTGGTGGGGAGTCTCTGAGGGAGCCAATCTTGCATCCCGCAGAACAAACCCCAGCAGAAAAGCTCCTGCAGTCACCTCCATGCTTGGGTCTGGGTGGGCTTAGGTCCCCTTCTTGCCCTGAAGGAAACAACCCCATACAGTGCTTCGTACCCCATAGAGTGTTTCTTACCCTAGCACAGGGATTCATGGTTGCCGTGACCCAGTGGTGCAGTTCCCCTGGGCACCCAGCACTCAAGCCTGTTTGTCCTAAGCCATGGGCCAAGCAGCTTGTGGGATGGGTGAAGAGCCTAGAGATCCTGTGACTTCAGATGGCCCCAAAACAAAATGATCAGAATCTACTTGTCATTCCGTGAACACATCCAAGGCGTGTGGGCACGATGACATCTCATCTATCCAACACCACCACGCGTCAGGAAAGAATGCCTAGTCACTTCCAAGATCATATTCTTGGGTTAGCTGTCTCCACTGCCCCAGTGTTCCTTACCCCCTGCCTCTCTCTTAGGTCAAGCATCAGAGATGCAGGGTCTTTCATAAAAGGGCTTCATTCCTAGGACACATGCAGACCTGGAGAAACGAATCCTGGGGACAGACAACCCCCACCATGCTGGGCGAATGTCCTCCAGGTTTTTATATCATACCCAAAGAAGGATTCTATTTATATGTGCTAATATATATGCAAATTAACACATCATTATATATTATATACTCATGTAAAATGGATATACTGTATACTTAGCCCTTATACAGTAAATATATATGTCTATATAAACAGGCATTAGAGTAGGTATCCATTCACTCTTTCGCCCATGTGTGGGGCCAGAACCTGAGAACACTGTGGTCCCCAGGTCAGAAAAAGTGGGGCTCTCATGGTAAGGTCCTGGCTTACTGCCAAAGGGACAACATTTCCACTGGGCCATAATGATCCCAGAGACCGTGGCTGCACCCCTCTGTCACTCACTCCTGATGGGTGACCCCATTCTTAGCAACTGCTTCCCAGTCTGATAAAGTGAGGCAAAAATATGACACTGGTATCAGAAGTCACAGCAAGACTTGTGTCCTTGGCAGCCCTGAAATTAGTAGTTAGGTGACAGTGGTCCTTAACTACTCAGCTGTAAGGACAGGCTTTCCTTGATCATTAATATTTCCAAGGGACTTTCACTTCATGGTTTCTTCCCAGACAGCTCTGGGAGCAGCTCTGTGACAGCTTGATTATCCCAATTTGAAACAGGAACACAAGAGGTAAAGTCATTCACCTAACTCCACTAAGTGAGTTGAATCAAGAATCAAGATCTTAACTCACCTTGTTGAGCACACTCAGCTTAATAAGAAACTCCCTCTTGAGCCAGGCTCGGTGGCTTAGCCTGTAATCCCGCACCTTTGGGAGGCTGAGGTGAGTGGATTGCCTGAGCCCGCGGGTTCGAGACCCGCCTGGGCAACTCGGCGAGCCCTCATCTCTACAATAAATCAAAAATGAGCCGGGCGTGGTAGCGCGCACCTGTAGTTCTGGCTACTTGGAAGGTTGAGACGGAAGGATCGCTGGAGCCCAGCAGGTCGAGGCTGTGGTGGCCGGGAGCAGCCACTGCACTCCAGTCTGGGTGACAGAGTGAGACTCCAACTCAAAAGAAAGAAAGAAAGAAAGAAACTCCTTCTAGAGCCTGATAACCAGTTGTTGTTCTCAAAGAGCCTGACTCAGGGGTACCAGAATGGAGAGGGACTGCAGAATCTGAGTTGGTCTAATTCAGCACTAACCACCAAGCCCTCCCTTTCCTCATTTGTAAGTAGAGGTTGATGGTAGTGGTTCTCAGCTTTTAAAAATTATGATGCCTGGGACCTGCCTCCACGGACTCTGATTAAAAGGGTTCTGTGGCCTTGGCTTTAGTTTTTGGGGGGGGGGTTGAGTTGGAGTCTCACTCCATCGTCCAGGCTGGAGTCCAGTAACACACTCACAGTCACTGCAACCTCGACCTGCTGGGCTCCAGCGATTCTTCTGCCTCAGCCTTCCAGGTAGCTGGAACTACGGCTATGCGCCATCATGCCCGGCTAATTTTTTTGATTTGTTGTAGAGATGAGGTCTCGCTAAGTGGTCTAGGTTGGTCTCGAACCCGTGGGCTCAGGCAATTCTCTCACCTCGGCCTCCCAAAGGCTGGGATTATAGGTGTGAACCACCACACTTGGCTGGGTTTTATTTTTTAACTTCCAGATGACTCCAGTGTGCAGCCAGGGCTGAGAACTGCTGCTGTAAGGATTAAAACCAATCAGCTGGATGTGGTGACTCACACCTGTAATTCCAGCACTTTGGGACTCTGAGGTGGGAGAATTATCTGAGCCCAGGAGTTCAAGACCAGCCTGGGCAACTTGGTGAGACCTCATCTCTACAATAAATCAAAAAATTAGCCAGGTGTGGTGGTGCATATCTGTAGTTCCAGCTACTTGGAAGACTGAGGTGGAAGGATCACCTGAGCCCAGCAGGTGCAGGCTGCAGTAGCCATGAGCATGCCACTACATTCCAACCTGGGTGACAGAAGGAGACTCCAACTCAAAAAAAAGATCACTCATGTACAGTCCCTGTACATGGATGGCATTTAATAAAAATTGGTGTCCTGTCCCCATCTCTTACTTCCCTGTGTAGAAAAAGCCTTAGCAACTCTAAAGAGCAAGTGGTGAGAATCTGTTCATCAGCCACCATCTTGCACTAGAACCAGAATCCACAGATTGTTAAACAGACTGTGGATCAGTATTCTCCAATGGCTGTAGGTGGAAAAATGCAGCAGTCCTATATTCCTGTGATGATACTGAATACTCAGGGAAAACTCCCACCTTGTAAGAAGGGTCAGAGGCTGTATCTAGTCCTAAAAAATGTTTAGTGGGAGTCTCTCTGAACCTACTCTGGTTCAGAGGCTGCTCAATTAAAAAAATAAGCTGTCACCTTGTTTAGTCAGTATTCCATACACAAGTTCTTCATAAGTTATTAATCAGTACTTTTGACTGCCAAGTGAACATCTGTTTACTGAATACCTAGATTTTTTTAATCATTAATTTGGGCCAGGCTCAGTGGCTCAGCCTGTAATCCCGTGCCTTTGGGAGGCTGAGGTGAGTGGATTGCCTGAGCCC